AAGGGGTGAGGGGTAAGAAGGAGTTGCTTTCTGAGAGGGCGGCACAGTTAAACTGAAAATAGTACGCGGCATAAAACCGCCCACCTGGCATTCACGCGTAGAGTGAATGTTCTCATGGGAGACGGGAGACAGTTATGAGCGAGGTTATTAGAGACTACTGCTGCCTCTACTTTTTATTGACGTTCGTTGTATTTCGTTTCCTAACGCGCCCGGACACGACTTTGTCTCGGTAAGCTGCAGCTCAACTCTCCGTTAAAAGTCCGCTCAGTCTACCCTTTCCTCCCTTCTCACTTCCCGTTCCCCTCGCAGCTCGCAGGAGAGGCTCCGGAACAAGATCATCAGCCGGCTAGTGAAGGAGGGCTCGAGCGCGGACGAGCCGACCAACATCATCCTGTCGGACTACTCGAGCGACGAGGGCGACACGAGCAGCAGCTCCGAGGACGAGGCTAACATGACGGAGACCTCCGGGGGCGGCAGGGGCCTCGGCGGCTCCCTGAGCGCCGGCCTTTGCCACGGCCTCGGACAGGGCCTCGGACACGCCTGCGAGGCCTGCGCCGTGCCGCCGTCGTCGCCCAACTTGCCTCGGCGGAAGGTGAGTCCGTGAGAGCGCGAACGAGTGCGTGAGCGTGGTGTGCCGCGGGCAACTGCTTGACAGTCGGGTGGTTTTCGGGCAGCCCAAGTGTTCTTGCAACGATGCTCTTACTTCTCTCAGCAGGCCCAGGAGGACAAGTCAGGGTCGCCCAAGGCGCAGGCGCGCCCGGAGGCCCGGCCCGAGCGCACGCCGCCGATGCCCCGGAGCCGCAGGACGCTCCAGGTGCACACCGCGCTCCTGGACCTCCCCGGCAGCGACCTGGGCGAGGCCAACACCACCCCGGAGCGGCAGTCCAGCACCGAGACGTCGCCCACGAGGCAGCCGCAGGCGGTGCAACAGCGCGTCAGCACCAGCCCAGGTAAAGCCCGAACCGCAGTAGCTAATATTTTTTTCCAACATTAACCGCGATCACACCTTCTACAAAGCTTCTAAATACAATGGTGCATGTCGTCTCACTCCCCTGCATTGATGTTGCAGACGACCCGGCGTTGCGGTCCAACAGCGAGAGGGTGGACATGCCGCCCGAGCTGATCGTTACTCCGGCGCACCGCCGAAAGGTGAGGGTTGTGTGGCCACAATGTGACCACCGGCCGAGGTGGGGCGGTGAATTTGATTCAATTCAGTAGTACCGCGCCCAAAACGGCGCAACCGCCTCCGGTCGAGCCCGAGGCAGGCAGGCAGCGCAGGCACGCCACGCGCACCCGCGTGAGGCGGGCGGCCTACCCTGCAGCCCACAGGCGCCCACCGGGCCGGGCGTCCCTGGGTTGAGCGGGTGGTGGTGTGCGTACGCTCCTCGGGGTGGCGGGCGTTTGGGCGAGCGAATCCTGGCGGGCTCTGGGCGTACCGTTGTCTTTATCCTTTCTGGTGCTTTGTGGCCGGCCCCTCCCTGCAGGGCCGCGGGCGCCACGGGTCGATGCGCGAGCTCCGCGACCTCGGCCAGCACCACCAGGGCGGCGACGGCGCCTCCCCCACCAACACGAGCGCGGCCCTGCTGGACTGCAAGGACTCCGCGGCGGACACGTCGGCGTCCCCGACCGTGGTGCAACGGCGCCGCAGCCTGTCCGTGCTCGTGGACGTCCGCGCCGGCCCTCCACTGGCCGGGGCCCCGCGCCCCGCATCCCAGCACGCGCGCAGCCTGCCCAACGCCAGGTCGGTGTCGGTGTTTTGGTGCGGTCTAAAAGTTCGCGCTCTGTTTGGACTTCTCGCTCAGATATCTGGAGAAGCACTATTTGGCTTAACGTGACGCTCGGTCTGTCCCTGCAGGCGGCGCCAAGGGTCTGCTCGGCGGGCGCAGCCCAAGCGCGCCGTCACGCCGACACCGACCCCTGTGCCCCCGGAGGACGAGGGCGGCGAGGGCTCGCCCTCCCGGAGCCCCATGTCTGGCGTGTGGCTGGGCACCCCGTGCGAGCAGTGCGACCCGCGCGCCCCGGAGCAGTGCAACAACTACACCGCCAACGTGCCGCTGGCCTGGGGGCCGCCGCCGCAGCACGAGCAGCCAGAGCAGCAGGACGTTCTGAGGTGCGTGGTGCGGGTGCGCTGGGGTGAGTCGCCCGCCGGGGAGTCTGTGCCGCCGGACACCAACCGAGCCGGGCTTTCTGTCCCCGCAGGTCCTGCTCGCAGAAGTTGTCGGCCATCTCAGCGCTGCAGAGACCGGCGGGCGCGAGGGAGGCGGCCGCGGACGGTAGCGTGACCGTGAGGGTGACGCGCAGGCGGCGCCCCAAGGCCCCCGTCGCCGCGGCCCAGCAGCCTCCGCCGGCGACAGCAGCGACGCCCCCGCGAAAGGCCCAGGCCTCTTGGCCGCAGCGGCAGAACGGTCGGCCCGCCCCCCAGGCGGGGAACCCCAGCCGGCCGACGTCCCTGGCCGCCCTCCGGGTGCAGCACGGCGCGGGGGCCTCCGCGTCCGTGGACGACGACCAGGACGCCGACGGGTCCGACGGAGGCAGGGCGCACTGGCGCCGCGGCCAGCTCCGGTAAGTACGCTGGGGAGACGTTCGTTCAACAACGCCTCACGATGTATAAACTACACGAGTTCAGTCCAATCAACGCCAGCTTACAACACATGGGCCAACTGAGTGGTCTGGGACCATGCCAGGCGGGAATTATCCTATAGATGCATGGGCAAATTGCCTAAATTTGGGAGCCGAAGTTTGAGGTATAGGGGGTGCGATCGCAGCCAGTCTAGCCCCTCCATATGTTTTTAAGGTGATATGAATGAAAGAATGAGCTAAGGTCAGGGAAATGACGCAGACAACAATGTCATTTGAGGCATCTTTATTATGTGAAGTCTTTGGAAGTAATTATAAAAAGAACATAATCAAGAATTAAAGTAAACAGAGACAACATTGTGAATCTCTAACATGCATGGAATTTCACATGTCCTTATTTAAAAAAAAAAAAAATCAAAGAAACAAAACGAACAGTAAAAGAAAGCAGTCAAAACTTAGCCAATGCTTCATCCACTTCTGAGAGAACTGACTTAAGCTCTCTATAATTTGCAGCATTCAAAGTAATACCTAAAACAAAACACATGAATAAGAATATTGTTGTGATTGGCGCATGTGTGGGGAGAGGAGACTCAACAAATTTCGTTAATTGTACCAACCTTTCTTTGTAGGCAACATCTCTCCGTTTTTCTCATAATATTCTCGAATAGAAACATATACTGTTCCTTTAAATTCTGAAACCTTCACAAATTTCTTGTTGCCTAATGACCATGATGGTTCTTCATCTCCTTTCCCTGACTTTGACTCTGCTGGTTTGGAAGGTGCTGGCTTCTTTTTGGCTGGACCTCTCTGTAAAATAGTCACATAAAATAAGACAACTAATTGTGATAATTGAACACATTTTGCCACGGCAACCAACACTTACATCTTCAGGACCTGAGTCGGAGTCTGAGCTGGAAGCTTCCCTCTTTGACTTTGTCTTGGACTTAGGCATCTGGAATTATAGATAAATAAGTTAAGTTTTGTTATTATTTCAGATGAGGTCTGAGATGACACAAGGTTTTTAATTATTTCTTGACAGAAAACGCGTACCTCGCCGGCCCTAACAAATGGCAAAGCGAATTTCGATCGCCGAATAAGATAAGCACTAGAAAGTGTCATAATCGTGTAACTATGATAAATTATACGTTATCATCGGGCAAACATGAGCTCAGAAGAAAGGATGAGGAGTAGAAGTTTATTTTACGAAAAAGTTAGAGAAAATTTTAACATCCTTGGCGGGTAGGAACCACTATAACCTCTTTGAACTATCCAGCATTTAGAGTCTAACAAATTATTCACTAACCCTCTTTCGCGAGCTCCATTGCTCGCACAATCAAGATAATTCGAATGCTGACTTACCTCGACTGAAGTTCCTAAAATTTAAGTCTCAACGCAAATTACAAACTGCCGGTTAACGATAAACGACCCTTCTTTGACAAACACCGAAACCGAATGGAGAAACAGTTGACAGTTGACAGGAAGTGGATCGTAATCAGTTTAGCCAGTTCAGAAAAGGAAAACTGCCTACTAATATTCGTGTTCTATTTCGACAAAGCCACTAATCAGGAATTATTAAATTACAAAAATTAATAAATTATCCAATCACAGTTTTAAAATAGTGATGTCATAGAGAACTACAACGATAAGTTATTGAATTTCGACACGTTGGACCACGTTGTAGCAGTTGGTTAATCCTGACAGGCAGTGCGCGGAAATTCAACACCGGCGGCGTCGTGTGGTTGAGGTACCCTTGAGAAAAGGTACCTAAGTACGTACGTATCCGCTCTCATTGCCTTCTTGTCCTCCCCAGGCTGCGTCGGCAGAAGCGGCACGAGGTCGCCTCAGCTGCCCGGGTCGTCGAGGAGGCCGTCAGCGTCCTGGGTGCGGCGCAGAGGCGACGGGCCAAGTCCAAGGGTCCTCCAGGGGCTGTGGCTCCGCAGGGGCCACAGGACCTGGAGGCGCTATCGAGGAGAGCCCGCTTCAGGGGAGGGGCCGTCCTTTCTGGGGTCGTACCCAACAACGCGGACGTGCGCTCAGGTATTCACGAGGACATCACGGTAGTCCAGCTGGTCACTCACTGCCCTATCACTACTGGCTGATGAGTACCCCCTGTTGCAGATGGAGGCGTCCAGGAAAATGGGCATGCTTCAGATGACCTAGCTGGGGACAGTGAGCAGGGGAAAGCTGGACTCAAGAAGAAGAAGAAACGTAAGCTGGGGCTACCCAAGAGAGTGAAACGAGTGTTGTCAGCCACAGCAGCTATCTCGCAACAACCTTCAGAGAAGCCAAGATGAACACAAACTGGACAACATTGTGGTTGCAGTTTTGTTTTGCAATATGGCTTTGCAAAGGGTTTCCTGCTTATTCTCCCTAAAAAAAATTGCAATTCATTTGTTAAAACTTTTCATAGTGATACTTTTTCTAAAAAAACAAACAAGCAAAAAAAAATAAAAAAAAAAAATCATGTTGATTCATGACCATTTAGGAAGGCTGTATTTGTTATAGGATAAGTGATATTGTGTGTAAGGAATTTTCCTCATGGAATGTAGTAATTTCTTTACTGGTAAGCAAAGTGAGTCTGTAATAATATTGGCCAATGGGAAAAAATGAATCTGTCCCATAATCAATAATTAACCAGACTTTAATTGGGTGATGTTAGTTAGCGTAGATACATGAGTAACATTGTAGGGTATCTGTGAAAATTAGAAGGATCACCAAGAACTGCCATCCATATCTTGGAAAATATGTGGTCCACCAAAGTTCAAATGAGGTGAATGAATATAACTACTGCTACTGCCATACGAGTAGACTGCAGGTGTCGAAAGACAAAAGAATATCTGTTTTTAGTGATAACATATAGTACAGTAGATTGAAAATAGCAAGGACTCATTTACGAAGGGTATTTTCAATAAGAGATTTACATATGATATTATAATAGCACAACATGCGACAATACAGAAATAAATGACAAAATGTGAATGAAACTATAACTATATACCTTAGTATCACAGACCAAAAAATACAGCAAACAAAAATGCTATCAGAAATCATCAAAATTAATTTCAGTTTCATTAAAGTTCCCTAACACTTCGTTAGCACATCCAATTTCTTCTTCTGAATCCTCCTCTTCATTTTCTTCCGCATCGTCGTCCATTCCAAAGAACATTCCTGTAAATTGCCACAAAAATGATTAAAATTAAATTTTGCTTTAAGAACATGCACGGCAGATTAGTAAGCAAATTAACAACAACTTACTTGGCAAATCGTTAACATTAAGATTGAGACTCGGCTTGTTGTTGAGAACATTGTCTTCCTCCTCTTCCATGTCAAGTGGATCAGGACTCAAAGGCAATGACTTGACAGGTACTTCTATGTAGTCCCCACCAAGCTCTACCTGGAGGTTGCTGCTAAGTTGAATCTGTTCCACCTTTTGGCACAAAACATGCATGCTTCACTAGTTGAAATCAAGTAGACGGAGAAGTACAGGGTAGGTTATAGTTACCTTGAGCTTGTTCCTCAGCTGTTGGACGTTCTTCAGCATGAGCTCCAGCGAGGCCTTCTCCTGAAGGAGACGGCGCTCCTCCGCAACGAGGCGCCTGAGCTTTCCAACTCGACTCGAGCATGTCACTTTTTCTGTCATGCTTGCTATATAACAGGACGCATTCAACTGCAACTTATTCAATCGGCCCTTTCGCTTGTGTCCCTGTCGTCTGCTCGGGTTTGGTTTGTAAACAAAAACAAAGAACAAAGGAAAGGCGCTGCTGCAGAAAACAAATGCACAGCACCCATCTCGCACGGCGCCAGGTTCAAATCAAATCCAGCTGCCATCTGGCAATGCGACCATCAACATCGTTTTCGTTTGTATTCTTGTGCCCTGGGGTAGAGGGAATAAGTAGAGGCCACCGATTTAAAGACGAAAATCCAGAGGGAGCCGATAGCATGACATTTTTGCGAGTCTCTCGACCGGAAGGAAGCAAGACAGCCGCAGCTTGAGCGGGGGTGGGAGGTGTGTAGGGGAGAGGGGTGAGAGTAGAATGTATAGTGCTGCTGCACCACAGCGTCTTGTTGTGGGGAGCGACCGCCCAACCCCTTTTTTAATTTTTCAAGTGTGGGGCATGCCTTGCCTCCAGGCGCAGCGCAGTTTCCCTTATCTCCCTATAGCGCACAAGAAATTATCCAATTTGACGTCGAACGTCCTATGACCCACAGGACGGCCTAAAATAAGGTTAGTGAAAGTTTGGTTGCTGCAGGGTGTGAGTGTATTTGTTTGTTTGCCGGATATCGGGCTGGGGCGTACGGCCCTGGGCCGTTGGCTAGGGCCGGATAGATATCACCCTTATGACTCGAGGTATCAAAATAATGAGTCACCATTCAAGGTCACAATCGAAGTCGAGGTGTCCGACGGTCCGCCTGTCTGCCTGTGTGTCCCCGTGTCCGGCCGTCTTCCGCACATCTGCCTGTCCTACTCTCTATGCCCACTTTCGTGACAAAATACCGATTGTGTGACCTTTGTCCACTCGTTCCCAGCGTGACCAACTGGTGCTGCGGACATGTGCTATGTAGAAAATCGATGCCCTCCTGCATGCCAAGTTGCATACAACGGCTTTGTTATGTTTTTTGTTGAGGTTATGTTGACGTTTTGCAACAACAACATGATTAGTTTAGGTCAAACTTTTACCAATGTGTCTACATATCTTAACTTTGGAAGACATGTCATCATATTCAT